TAGTAGAAGCAGTAAAGTCACTGAACAGGCGTGCGCAGGGTCAGCAGGGCCGGTGGGGCCTACGGACTGTAGTGGCGCACAAGCAGCAGTAGCAGGAAGTGTAGTAGTAGGATCTGCAGTGGTGCACAGGCGCAGCAGGCGGCAGCGAGAGCCGGCGCAGCAGGGGCGGGCTCAGCAGCGGTGATACGCGGGCGGCAGCGGGCGCAGCAGCGGCGGTGCGCGGGCGGCGGCGGGCTCAGCAGCGGCGGTGCGCGGGCGGCTGCGGGCTCAGCAGCGGCGGTGCGCGGGCGGCGGCGGGCTCAGCAGCGGCGGTGCGCGGGCGGCTGCGGGCTCAGCAGCGGCGGTGCGCGGGCGGCGGCGGGCTCAGCAGCGGCGGTGCGCGGGCGGCTGCGGGCTCAGCAGCGGCGGGCCGGGAGCAGTGCGGGCAGCGTGCGGGCCGGCGGCGGTCAGCGCACGAGCCGCGCAGGCTCAGCGCGGGCTGCGCGGGCTGCTCGCGGGCTGCGTAAGCGGGTCGCGGGCGGCTCGCGGGGGTTCGCGGGCAGGTCGCGGGCTGCTCGCGGGCAGTTCGCGGGCTGTGCGCGGGCTGCGCGGGCTGGTCGCGGGCTGCGCAGGCGGGTCGCGGGCTGTGCGCGGGCGGTTCGCGGGCTGTGAGCGCGGCGCGCTGTGCGGTTCGCGGGCGGCGTGACGGGGCCGATCGGGGCGCTAAGGGGCGACGCGACGGGGGCCGTGAGAGGCCGCTAGGAAAAAAAAAAAAATTTCGACGGGGCCGCAGGGCCGCTAGATCGTGCTAGATCGACGGGGCCAGCGGGGCCGGAAACAAGCGAAGGTAAGCAGGTAGGTAAGTCGGTGGGCCCTAAGAACAGTCCTAGCGAAGGACCTGCTCTGAAACCATGTCAGAAATAACTGAGCAGGAATGAATGAACTAGAACAGAGTTTGGTACAAGTAGGAAACCCTAACTTTGTGTACCCCCTAAGGTGTAACCCACTACAGCCTAGACAATATAAACATGCAATGTTTGACAAGTCGCACGCATTTTCCTATGCATAGGGCGATTATGCCGCATTTTTTCATTTTGCGGCAAAATTTGGTGGTTTTAAGGGCGTCGAACATTCATTCGTGCGTGAATCAAAGCCGAGATTGTCTTTGAAGGTGCGTTGGAACATATGCTATTCGGATATGCAAAACAAATCCGGTAGTCGCACTCATTTTCCCATGCATAGGGCGATTATGCCGCATTTTTTTCATTTGGCGGCAAAATTTGGCGGTTTTGAGGGCGTCGAACATCCGTTCGTGTACGAATCAAAGCCAAGATTGTCTTAGAAGGTGCGTTGGAACATAGGCTACTCTGATAAGCAAAACAAATCTGGTAGTCGCAAGCATTTTCCCATGCACAGGGCGATTATATCCCTCATTTTTTTCATATCGCGGCAAAATCTGGCGGTTTTGAGGGCCTCGAACATTCGTTCGTGCAGAAATCAAAGCCGAGATTGTCTTAGAACATGCTTTGGAACATAGGCTATTCGGATGTGCAGAAAGAATGTGGTAGTCGCACGCATTTTCCCATGCACAGGGCAATTATGTCGCATTTTTTTCATATCGCGGCAAAAATTGGCGGTTTTGAGGGCGTCGAACATCCGTTCGTGTACGAATCAAAGCCGAGATTGTCTCAGGAGGTGCATTGGAACATAGGCTACTCGGATATGGAAAACGAATCTGGTAGTCGCGCGCATTTTCCCATGTACAGGGCGATTATGTCGCATTTTTTTCATATCGCGGCAAAATTTTGTGGTTTTAAGGGCGTCGAACATTCGTTCGTGTACGAATCAAAGCCAAGATTGTCTTAGAAGGTGCGTTGGAACATAGGCTACTCGGATATGCAAAACAAATCTGGTAGTCGCACGCATTTTCCCATGCACAAGTCGATTATGTCGCATTTTTTTCATATCGCGGCAAAATTTTGTGGTTTTGAGGGCGTCGAACATTCGTTCGTGTACGAATCAAAGCCGAGATTGTCTTAGAATGTGTGTTGGAACATATGCTACTCGGATATGCAAAACAAATCTGGTAGTCGCATGCATTTTCCTATGCATAAGGCGATTATGCCGCATTTTTTCATTTTGCGGCAAAATTTGGTGGTTTTAAGGGCGTCGAACATTCGTTCGTGCATGAATCAAAGCCGAGATTGTCTTTGAAGGTGCGTTGGGTATAGGCTACTCGGATACGGAAAAAGAATCTGGTAGTCGCACGCATTTTCCCATGCATAGGGCGATTATGCCGCATTTTTTTCATTTGGCGGCAAAATTTGGCGGTTTTGAGGGCGTCGAACATCCGTTCGTGTACGAATCAAAGCCGAGATTGTCTTAGAAGGTGCGTTGGAACATAGGCTTCTCTGATATGCAAAACAAATCTGGTAGTCGCAAGCATTTTCCCATGCACAGGGCGATTATATCCCTTTTTTTTTTTCATATCGCGGCAAAATCTGGCGGTTTTGAGGGCCTCGAACATTCGTTCGTGCAGAAATCAAAGCCGAGATTGTCTTAGAACATGCTTTGGAACATAGGCTTTTTGGATATGCAAAACAAATCTGGTAGTCGCACGCATTTTCCCATGCATAGGGCGATTATGCCGCATTTTTTTTCATATCGCGGCAAAATTTGGCGGTTTTTGAGGGCGTCGAACATTCGTTCGTGCACGAATCAAAGCCGAGATTGTCTCAGAAGGTGCGTTGGAACATAGGCTACTCGGATATGCAAAACGAATCTGGTAGTCGCACGCATTTCCCCATGTACAGGGCGATTATGCCGCATTTTTTTCATTTGGCGGCAAAATTTGGCGGTTTTGAGGGCGTCGAACATCCGTTCGTGTACGAATCAAAGCCGAGATTGTCTTAGAAGGTGCATTGGAGCATAGGCTACTCGGATATGCAAAACAAATCTGGTAGTCGCACGCATTTTTTTATGCATAGGGAGATTATGCCGCATTTTTTCCATTTTGCGGCAAAATCTGGCGGTTTTGAGGGCGTCAAACATTCGTTCGTGCACGAATCAAAGCCGAGATTGTCTTAGAAGGTGCGTTGGAACATAGGCTACTCGGATATGCAAAAAGAATCTGGTAGTCGCACGCATTTTCCCATGCATAGGGCGATTATGCCGCATTTTTTTCATATCGCGGCAAAATTTGGCGGTTTTGAGGGCGTGCGCCGCTGCTGCTGCCCCCGTGCACTACCCCTCCTTCGCCGCTGCTGCCGGCCTGTCGACCCTGCCGCTACCGCCCGTGCACTTTTTTTTTTTAGTGGCCCCGCTGGCCCCGTTGACACCGCCCACAGCTTCCCTGCGGCCTCATTCCTACTGTTTCTACCGCTACTGCTACTGCCGCTATGGCTACTCCTACTGTACTTACTTTCGATGCTGAGGGCCGTCCAGTGAAGTTCGAAACCTGGCTCGATGACCTCCACCTCTTCCTACAGCTCACTGCTAGGGAGGACATTTCACTGTACGATCATGCCCTAGGCAACGCTACTGCCCCTCCTACCACTGCTGACAGCACTCAGCGCTCACAGTGGCAGACTCGTGACGCCCACGCTCGCTTCGCTATTCGTAACTCCCTACCGATCGACGAACGCGAGCACTTTGGCCAGCACAAAACTGCTAAGGACCTATACACTGCTGTAGTCGCTCGCTACTCCTCACCCGCTTCTGCCACACTAGGCCGCCTCACCCTCCCCTACCTGTTCCCCGACCTGGCCTCCTTTCAGACAGTTGCTGACCTCATCACCCACCTTAAGACTAGTGAGGCCCGCTTTCGCGCTGCTATGCCTGACGAGTTCCTTACTAGCAACCCCCCCCCCGCTCTGGATCACTCTCTACCACATAGTCACCCGCCTCCCCGACTCCCTGCGCACAGTCAGGGACCACTTCCTCTCTCGCTCCCCCACTGAACTCACCATTGCCCTCCTCGAGAAGGAACTGCTTGCAGCTGAGGCGAGCATCGTCGCTGTAGGCACCTCTCGTGGCGACCCCCGCACCCCGTTCTTTGAGGGGTGTTCCCCTTCCCCTCTCCTCTGTTAAACATTGCATGTTTATATTATGTAGGCTGTAGTGGGTTACACCTTAGGGGGTACTCAAAGTTAGGGTTTCCTACTTGTACCAAACTCTGTGCTAGTTCATTCCATTCCTGCTCAGTTATTTCTGACATGGTTTCAGAGCAGGTCCTTCGCTAGGACTGTTCTTAGGGCCCACCGACTTACCTACCTGCTTACCTTCGCTTGTTTCCGGCCCCGCTGGCCCCGTCGATCTAGCACGATCTAGCGGCCCTGCGGCCCCTTCGAATTTTTTTTCCTAGCGGCCTCTCACGGCCCCCGTCGCGTCGCCCCTTAGCGCCCCGATCGGCCCCGTCACGCCGCCCGCGAACCGCACAGCGCGCCGCGCTCACAGCCCGCGAACCGCCCACGCACAGCCCGCGAACCGCCTGCGCAGCCCGCGACCAGCCCGCGCAGCCCGCGCACAGCCCGCGAACTGCCCGCGAGCAGCCCGCGACCTGCCCGCGAACCCCCGCGAGCCGCCCGCGACCCGCTTACGCAGCCCGCGAGCAGCCCGCGCAGCCCGCGCTGAGCCTGCGCGGCTCTTGCGCTGACCGCCGCCGGCCCGCACGCTGCCCGCGCAGCTCACATACGGCCCGCACGGCCCGCGCGCTGCCTGCTCCCGGCCCGCCGCTGCTGAGCCCGCAGCCGCCCGCGCACCGCTGCTGCTGAGCCCGCCGCCGCCCGCGCACCGCCGCTGCTGCGCCCGCCGCCGCCCGCGTATCACCGCTGCTGAGCCCGCCCCTGCTGCGCCGGCTCTCGCTGCCGCCTGCTGCGCCTGTGCACCACTGCAGATCCTACTACTACACTTCCTGCTACTGCTGCTTGTGCGCCACTACAGTCCGTAGGCCCCACCGGCCCCGCTGACCCTGCGCACGCCTTTTCAGTGACTTTACTGCTTCTACTACTGCCGCTGTCGCTATGGCTAGTCCTCCTGTTCTAGCTTTCGACGCCGAGGGCCGTCCGGTCAAATTCGAAACCTGGCTAGATGACCTGCACCTTTTCCTACAGCTCACTGCCAAGGAAGATATTACACTGTACGACCACGCTCTCGGCCATGCGACCGCCCCACTCGCTACTGCCCCCCCAGCTGAGCGCTCACAGTGGCAGACCCGTGACGCGCACGCTCGCTTTGCTATTCGCAACTCCCTGCCGCTAGATGAGCGCGAGCACTTCGGCCAGTGCAAGACTGCTAAGGACCTCTACACAGCTGTAGTGGCCCGCTACTCCTCACCCGCTTCTGCCACGCTAGGCCGCCTCACTCTCCCCTACCTGTTCCCCGACCTAGCCTCCTTTCACACTGTCGCAGACCTCATCACCCACCTTAAGACTAGTGAGGCTCGCTTTCGCGCTGCCATGCCTGACGAGTTCCTCGCTAGCAACCCCCCCCCCGCTCTGGATCACTCTCTACCACGTTGTCACCCGCCTCCCTGACTCTCTGCGCCCTGTCAGGGACCAGTTCCTCTCTCGCTCCCCCACTGAGCTCACCGTAGACCTCCTCGAGAAGGAACTGCTTGCAGCCGAGGCTAGTATCGTCGCTGTAGGCACCTCTCGTGGCGACCCCCGCGGCCCCTTCTTTGAGGGGTGCTCCCCTTCCCCCCTCCTCCCCTCTGTCGCCTCTGCTGCTGCTGTCGACCTCCTTGGTGCTGAGAAGGTCGGGGCTGCGTCTGCTTCAGGCGGACGACGCAGGGGCAGGAGTGGCAGGAGTGGGGGTGGTGGCGGAGGAGGCGGGGGTGGAGGTGGTGGCGGTGGAGGTGCGACTGGAGAGGCTAGTGGCGGCAGTGGTGGAGGTGACAGCGGCGTTGGGAGTGGTGACAGGGGCGGAGGTGGCAGCGGAGGCGGAGGTGGTCGTGGCAGCGGCAGGGGTGGAGGTGGCCGGGGCGGAGGCGGAGGGGGTGGTGGTCGTGGAGGCCCGGGGGGCGGTCAGAGTCAGCAGCCTGCCCCGACCCTTCAGGCCGCCCGTGAGTGGTATGCGCGGCGCAGCGTCACCTGCCAGTACGTTATTCGTACAGGTGACCGCACTGGCCAGACGTGTGGGGGGCCGCACCAGACGGAGCGCTGCTTCGCCCGCCTCAACGATGCGTGGCGCACCCAGTTTCCTGGTGGGGGTGAGCTGCCGCGCTGGGCTGAGCTGCTCAGGAAGGGTGTTGATATTTGGGCACTAGACTTTGATGCTATTCTCACTGCCATGTATGCGATGTCTATTAGTGGAGAGGGTGCTCAGTACTTGCGTGTTCCGCCCGACCCGGGCATTCAGGCCAGCCCCGCTGCTGCTCTAGGTGCTAGTGTGTCTGCTTCCACAGGTACTACTGCAGCTGCTGCTCTAGGTGCTTGTGCGTCTGTGCCCCCTGGTACTGAGTCGACTGCAGCACTGCACACCTTCACACTGGACTCAGGTGCTTCTCGCTCTTTCTTTCGTGACCGCACTGTCCTTGAGCCTCTAGCTCGGCCGGTTGCTGTCTCTCTTGCTGACCCCTCTGGGGGTCCGGTCCTTGCGACCTCCTCCACCACCCTTCCGTGTCCAGCGGTTCCGTCCGGCACACTGTCAGGTCTCTACCTCCCCTCGTTCTCTACGAACTTGGTGGCAGGTAGTGCGCTCCAGGACGGGGGTGTTCACCAGTTCACCCCTGCTTACGAGCGCGTGACACACTGCACGTGTGCTAGGACGGGTCGCCACCTGGCTACCTTCACTCGGCAGCCGGGGTCGGACCTGTACACACTGACCACTGCGTCCCCTCAGGTAGCTGCGTCCGCGTCTGCGTCTGCGTCAGGTCAGCTGTCCGCCCCCTGCTCGTGTCGCTCTCTGGCGCATGAGACTGTCCTCTGGCACCACCGCCTTGGTCACCCGTCTGTGCAGCGCCTTCGGGCCATGCACAAACGGGACCTTGTTGCTGGTCTTCCCAGGGTTCTCCCTCCCCTCCCACCCTCGCCTGCTCCTCCCTGTCTTCCCTGTGTCGAGGGACGGCAGCGCGCCGCTCCTCACTCCTCCTCCTTCCCCCCGACGACTGCTCCTTTGCAGACGCTCCACATGGACGTGTGGGGCCCAGCCCGCGTCCGTGGTCAGGGTCAGGAGAGGTACTTCCTGATTGTTGTTGACGACTTCTCGCGCTACACCACGGTCTTCCCCTTGCGCACCAAGGGTGACGTCCCTGATGTCTTGATCCCTTGGATCCGCAGATCTCGTCTCCAGCTCAGTGAGCGTTTCCGCTCCGACTTCCCTGTCCTGCGTCTGCACTCTGACAGAGGTGGGGAGTTTTCCTCTGGCCTCTTGGAGGCCTTCTGTCAGCAGGAGGGCATTGAGCAGTCGTTCACGCTTCCGGCCTCTCCACAGCAGAATGGGGTTGCTGAGCGCCGCATTGGCTTGGTCATGGAGGTCGCTCGTACCTCCTTGGTTCATGCGGCTGCCCCCCACTTTCTGTGGCCGTTTGCAGTCCGATACGCTGCGCATCAGCTCAACCTCTGGCCCCGTGTCTCCTTACCGGAGACTTCTCCGACACTGCGTTGGACGGGAGAGGCTGGCGATGCGTCGCGTTTTCGGGTCTGGGGATCTCGAGCTTTTGTTCGCGATACGTCCGCGGACAAGCTCTCCCGTCGAGCTGTCCCCTGTGTCTTCCTTGGCTTTGTCCCGGACGCGCCTGGTTGGCAGTTCTACCACGCCACCTCGCGTCGTGTCCTGGCCTCTCAGGACGTCACTTTTGACGAGTCCGTCCCCTACTACCGCCTCTTCCCCTACCGCACTGCTCCACTCCCCCCCCCGCCTCTCTTCCTGGCTCCAGGTGCTGAGGTACCAGACCCCCTCCCCCCTCAGGGTGCCGCTCCCTCAGGTGTGTCCCAGGTAGACCCGGGTGAGCCTGTCGAGGTGGCTGTCGACTCTCGTCCTGCTAGGGGTGTTGACCCTGGGGGTGCGGAGCCTGGGGGTGCTGAGCCTGGGGGTGCTGAGTCTGGGGGTGCTGAGCCTGGAGGTGCTGAGCCTGGAGGTGCTGAGTCTGGGGGTGCTGAGTCTGGGGGTACTGAGCCTGAGCGTGCTACACCTGGAGGAGCCCTCTCCTCCCGGCAGCTGCAGGAGAGGTACCTACAGTACTGCCGCCTCCGGAGAGGTGCTACTGGAGCTCGTACCAGTGCTTCCCCTCCTGCCCAGGAGCTCCCCCCCATTCAGCAGATCCGAGAGTGGTACACGCGGCGCTGCAGTCTTCGGAGTGGTGCTCCTGGTGCTGCGGACCCTGGGGGTGGCGCTGCTACTGGTGCTGAGGACCCGGGCGTTGGGGCTGCTGCTGGTGCTGAGGACCCGGGCGTTGGAGCTGCTGCTGGTGCTGAGGACCCGAGCGGTGGCGCTGCTGCTGGTGCTGAGGACCCGGGCGTTGGAGCTGCTGCTGGTGCTGCGGACCCGAGCGGTGGCGCTGCTGCTGGTGCTGAGGACCCGGGCGTTGGAGCTACTGCTGGAGCTGAGGACCCGGACGGTGGAGCTGCTGCTGGTGCTGAGGACCCGAGCGGTGGAGCTGCTGCTGGTGCTGAGGACCCGGACGTTGGAGCTGCTGCTGGTGCTGAGGACCCTGCCGCTGGTGTCTCTGCTGGTTCTGGAGACGCTGCGCGGCCGCGACCGTACTTCGTACCACTTCTTCAGCAGGTTCTTGGTCAGGCTCCTCCTCCTTGTCCTCCTCCCTCCGTAGAGTGTCCTCCGCCTGTCCAGTCGCAGTCACAGTTCCCGCCTGCCTCGCCTCTCCCTGGTCCCTCTCCTTACATTGGTCCCACAGGAGGTCTTGCAGAGCGTCGTGAGCCTGCGTCTCGTCCTGCGTCGCCTGTTCGTACCGCTCGCACTGGTCGTCGTGTCCCACGTGAGCGTCCTCCTCCTGTCCCTGGCACTCACTACATGACTCTGCGTCCCTCCACTGCTCCTCAGCGTGTTCCGCTGCCGTCTCCTCCTGCGTCCTCTCTGCCTACTCTTCCTGATCCGGAGTCTGACTCCCGTCGTGCTGCCAGTCCCACTGTCACCCGTCTCCTCGCTACTGTTGTCACTGACCCTACCTTTGAGTCCTCTGCTGCGTCTGCTCTGGTCGCTGAGTTGATAGACTTTGCTGCCCGGTGTCGTCTAGACTACGCCACTAGCCTTGTTGCTGAGTCTGAGTCTGAGTCTGTCTGTCCTCCGTCCGTCGGGGGTGAGTGTGCTCTTGGCACGGACGTCCTTGAGGACAGACAGGAGGAGTTCCAGTGCTTTGCTGCTGCTTTACCCCACCTCGTGTCCATGCTAGTTGCCCCTGAGGGAGACCCGGATGCACCAGACATCCCGACCCCGCGCACTTACGCTGAGGCGATGGCGGGTCCCTACTCCTCTCAGTGGCAGACAGCCATGGACGCAGAGATGGCTTCCTGGAAGTCCACAGGCACCTACGTCGACGAGGTTCCCCCACCTGGGGCGAACATCGTCAGTGGCATGTGGATTTTCAGGGTGAAGCGGCCACCGGGTTCTCCTCCTGTCTTCAAGGCGCGCTACGTGGCTCGAGGCTTCAGTCAGCGAGAGGGAGTTGACTTCTTTCAGACCTTCTCCCCCACCCCGAAGATGACCACTCTTCGGGTGCTGCTACACATAGCCGCTCAGTGCGACTACGAGCTTCACTCACTTGACTTCAGCACTGCTTTCTTACAGGGCAGCCTGCACGAGGAGATCTGGCTGCGCCGCCCTCCTGGCTTCACTGGGTCAGTTCCTCCTGGTACCCAGTGGAGGCTCCAGCGGCCGGTCTACGGTCTCCGCCAGGCACCGCGTGAGTGGCACGACACACTGAGGACGACACTTGCGGCTCTTGGGTTCGCTCCCTCTACTGCTGACCCGTCACTGTTTCTACGCACAGACACCTCACTGCCGCCGTTCTACATCCTCGTGTACGTCGACGACTTGGTCTTTGCCACTGCTGACACCGCGGCACTCGCCCACGTGAAGTCGGAGCTGTAGAGGAGACACACGTGCACAGACCTGGGTGAACTGACAAGCTATCTTGGCTTGCGGATCACCCGGGACAGAGCACGGCGCACCATCACCTTGACTCAGTCACACATGGTGCAGCAGATCCTTCAGCGCTTCCGCTTCACGTACTCCTCGCCTCAGTCCACTCCTCTGCCTACCGGTCACTCGCTCTCAGCTCTGCCTTCGGATGAGTCCGTAGAGCCGAGTGGCCCGTATCCAGAGCTTGTGGGCTGCCTCATGTGCCTGATGACCTGCACTCGACCTGACCTTGCATACCCTCTTAGCATCCTTGCACGCTATGTCGCTCCTGGCCGTCACAGGAAGGAGCACATGGATGCTGCTAAGAGGGTGTTGCGCTACTTGTGCAGTACGTCGGGCATGGGGCTAGTGCTTGGAGGGCGAGACCGAGTTGTACTTACTGGACACTCAGACGCTTCTTGGGCGGACGACCAGGCTACTCAGCGGTCGTCTCAGGGTTACACCTTTAGCCTTGGCTCCGGCTCAGTTTCTTGGCGTTCTACACGCTCTTCTTCTGTTCTCAGCTCCAGTTGTGAGGCTGAGATCTACGCCACAGCCATGGCTGCCCAGGAGCTACGCTGGCTGACCTACCTGCTGACCGACTTGGGAGAGCGGCCTCGTTCTCCTCCAGTGCTGTACGTCGACAACCAGGCTGCCATTGCCTTGTGTGAGGAGCACAGACTGGAGCACAGAACGAAGCACAGTCGAGGTAGCTGTTGACTCTCGTCCTGCTGGGGGTGCTGAGCCTGACCGTGAGGAGCCTGGGGGTGCTGCGTCTGGGGGTGCTGAGCCTGGGGGTGCGGAGCCTGGAGGTGCTGAGCCTGGGGGTGCTGCGTCTGGAGGTGCTGCGTCTGGGGGTGCTGCGTCTGGGGGTGCTGAGCCTGGAGGTGCTGAGCCTGACCGTGCTGAGTCTGGGGGTGCTGAGCCTGGGGGTGAGGAGCCTGGGGGTGCGGAGCCTGGAGGTGCGGAGTCTGGAGGTGCTGAGCCTGGGGGTGCTGCGTCTGGGGGTGCTGTGTCTGGAGGTGCTGAGCCTGAGCGTGCTCCACCTGGAGGAGCCCTCTCCTCCCAGCAGCTGCAGGAGAGGTACCTACAGTACTGCCGCCTCCGGAGAGGTGCTGCTGGAGCTCGTACCAGTACTTCCCCTCCTACCCAGGAGCTCCCCCCCATTCAGCAGATCCGAGAGTGGTACGCGCGGCGCTGCAGTCTTCGGAGTGGTGCTCCTGGTGCTGCAGACCCTGGGGGTGGCGCTGCTACTGGTACTGAGGACCCGGGCGGTGGAGCTGCTGCTGGTGCTGAGGACCCGGGCGTTGGAGCTGCTGCTGGTACTGAGGACCCGGGCGGTGGCGCTGCTGCTGGTGCTGAGGACCCGGGCGTTGGAGCTGCTGCTGGTGCTGAGGACCTGGGCGGTGGCGCTGCTGCTGGTGCTGAGGACCCGGGCGTTGGAGCTACTACTGGTGCTGAGGACCCGGGCGTTGGAGCTGCTGCTGGTGCTGAGGACCCTGCTGCTGGTGTCTCTGCTGGTTCTGGAGACGCTGCGCGGCCGCGACCGTACTTCGTACCGCTCCTTCAGCAGGTTCTTGGTCAGGCTCCTTCTCCCTGTCCTCCTCCCTCCGTAGAGTGTCCTCCGCCTGTCCAGCCACAGTCACAGTTACCGCCTGCCTCGCCTCTCCCTGCTCCCTCTCCTTACACTGGTCCCACGGGAGGTCTTACATGTCAGAATGAACGGACTGGAATGACTGTACTAGCACAAAGTTGGATACAAGTAGGAAACCCTAATCTAGTGTACCCCCTAAGGTGTAACCCACTACAGCCTACAATCATATAAACATATAATGTTTGACACACCCCCATAGGCGAAGTGGGAGACAACCACAGGGTCACAAGACCAGTCAAAGCAAAGGAAGGCAAGCTCAGGGTGGATCTCAAGGATTCCACACAAATTCCGAGCACAAGCAAGCGGTCACAAGACCAGTCCACATGCAGGTTTATAATAGAGCAAGAGATACATTGATCACAACCTAGCAAGAGTGAACATGCAGGTATATATATATATAGTGATCACAGTACGAGTCAAACATTGCATGTTTATATTGTCTAGGCTGTAGTGGGTTACACCTTAGGGGGTACACAAAGTTAGGGTTTCCTACTTGTACCAAACTCTGTTCTAGTTCATTCATTCCTGCTCAGTTATTTCTGACATGGTTTCAGAGCAGGTCCTTCGCTAGGACTGTTCTTAGGGCCCACCGACTTACCTACCTGCTTACCTTCGCTTGTTTCCGGCCCCGCTGGCCCCGTCGATCTAGCACGATCTAGCGGCCCTGCGGCCCCGTCGAAATTTTTTTTTTTTTTTTTTTTTTTTCCTAGCGGCCTCTCACGGCCCCCGTCGCGTCGCCCCTTAGCGCCCCGATCGGCCCCGTCACGCCGCCCGCGAACCGCACAGCGCGCCGCGCTCACAGCCCGCGAACCGCCCGCGCACAGCCCGCGACCAGCCCGCGCAGCCCGCGCACAGCCCGCGAACTGCCCGCGAGCAGCCCGCGACCTGCCCGCGAACCCCCGCGAGCCGCCCGCGACCCGCTTACGCAGCCCGCGAGCAGCCCGCACAGCCCGCGCTGAGCCTGCGCGGCTCGTGCGCTGACCGCCGCCGGCCCGCACGCTGCCCGCACTGCTCCCGGCCCGCCGCTGCTGAGCCCGCAGCCGCCCGCGCACCGCCGCTGCTGAACCCGCCGCCGCCCGCGCACCGCCGCTGCTGAGCCCGCCGCCGCCCGCGCACCGCCGCTGCTGCGCCCGCTGCCGCCTGCGTATCACCGCTGCTGAGCCCGCCCCTGCTGCGCCGGCTCTCGCTGCCGCCTGCTGCGCCTGTGCACCACTGCAGATCCTACTACTACACTTCCTACTACTGCTGCTTGTGCGCCACTACAGTCCGTAGGCCCCACCGGCCCTGCTGACCCTGCGCACGCCTGTTCAGTGACTTTACTGCTTCTACTACTGCCGCTGTCGCTATGGCTAGTCCTCCTGTTCTAGCTTTCGACGCCGAGGGCCGTCCGGTCAAATTCGAAACCTGGCTAGATGACCTGCACCTTTTCCTACAGCTCACTGCCAAGGAAGATATTACACTGTACGACCACGCTCTCGGCCATGCGACCGCCCCACTCGCTACTGCCCCCCCAGCTGAGCGCTCACAGTGGCAGACCCGTGACGCGCACGCTCGCTTTGCTATTCGCAACTCCCTGCCGCTAGATGAGCGCGAGCACTTCGGCCAGTGCAAGACTGCTAAGGACCTCTACACAGCTGTAGTGGCCCGCTACTCCTCACCCGCTTCTGCCACACTAGGCCGCCTCACTCTCCCCTACCTGTTCCCCGACCTAGCCTCTTTTCACACTGTCGCAGACCTCATCACCCACCTTAAGACTAGTGAGGCTCGCTTTCGCGCTGCCATGCCTGATGAGTTCCTCGCTAGCAACCCCCCCCCGCTCTGGATCACTCTCTACCACGTTGTCACCCGCCTCCCTGACTCTCTGCGCCCTGTCAGGGACCAGTTCCTCTCTCGCTCCCCCACTGAGCTCACCATAGCCCTCCTCGAGAAGGAACTGCTTGCAGCCGAGGCTAGTATCGTCGCTGTAGGCACCTCTCGTGGCGACCCTCGCGGCCCCTTCTTCGAGGGGTGCTCCCCTTCCCCCCTCCTCCCCTCTGTCGCCTCTGCTGCTGCTGTCGACCTCCTTGGTGCTGAGAAGGTCGGGGCTGCGTCTGCTTCAGGCGGACGACGCAGGGGCAGGAGTGGCAGGAGTGGGGGTGGTGGCGGAGGAGGCGGGGGTGGAGGTGGTGGCGGTGGAGGTGCGACTGGAGAGGCTAGTGGCGGCGGTGGTGGAGGTGACAGCGGTGTTGGGAGTGGTGACAGGGGCGGAGGTGGCAGCGGAGGCGGAGGTGGTCGTGGCAGCGGCAGGGGTGGAGGTGGCCGGGGCGGAGGCGGAGGGGGTGGTGGTCGTGGAGGCCCGGGGGGCGGTCAGAGTCAGCAGCCTGCCCCGACCCTTCAGGCCGCCCGTGAGTGGTATGCGCGGCGCAGCGTCACCTGTCAGTACGTTATTCGTACAGGTGACCGCACTGGCCAGACGTGTGGGGGGCCGCACCAGACGGAGCGCTGCTTCGCCCGCCTCAACGATGCGTGGCGCACTCAGTTTCCTGGTGGGGGTGAGCTGCCGCGCTGGGCTGATCTGCTCAGGAAGGGTGTTGATATTTGGGCACTTGACTTTGATGCTATTCTCACTGCCATGTATGCGATGTCTATTAGTGGAGAGGGTGCTCAGTACTTGCGTGTTCCGCCCGACCCGGGCATTCAGGCCAGCCCCGCTGCTGCTCTAGGTGCTAGTGTGTCTGCTTCCGCAGGTACTTCTGCAGCTGCTGCTCTAGGTGCTTGTGCGTCTGTGCCCCCTGGTACTGAGTCGACTGCAGCACTGCACACCTTCACACTGGACTCAGGTGCTTCTCGCTCTTTCTTTCGTGACCGCACTGTCCTTGAGCCTCTAGCTCGGCCGGTTGCTGTCTCTCTTGCTGACCCCTCTGGGGGTCCGGTCCTTGCGACCTCCTCCACCACCCTTCCGTGTCCAGCGGTTCCGTCCGGCACGCTCTCAGGTCTCTACCTCCCCTCGTTCTCCACGAACTTGGTGGCAGGTAGTGCGCTCCAGGACTCGGGTGTTCACCAGTTCACCCCTGCCTACGAGCGTGTGACTCACTGCACGTGTGCTCGGACGGGCCGCCACCTAGCTACTTTCACTCGAGAGCCGGGGTCTGACCTGTACACACTGACCACTGAGTCCCCTCAGGTAGCTGCGTCTGCGTCAGCGTCAGGTCAGCTGTCCGCCCCCTGCTCGTGTCGCTCTCTGGCGAACGACACCGTCCTCTGGCACCACCGCCTTGGTCACCCGTCTGTGCAGCGCCTGCGGGCCATGCACAAACGGGACCTTGTTGCTGGTCTTCCCAGGGTGCTCCCTCCCCTTCCTGACTCCCCTGCTCCTGACTGCATTCCCTGTGTCGAGGGGCGGCAGCGCGCCGCTCCTCACTCCTCCTCCTTTCCCCCGACGACCGCTCCCCTGCAGACGCTCCACATGGACGTGTGGGGCCCGGCCCGCGTCCGTGGTCAGGGTCAGGAGAGGTACTTCCTGATAGTTGTTGACGACTACTCGCGCTACACCACGGTCTTCCCCTTGCGCGCCAAGGGTGACGTCCCTGGTGTTTTGATCCCCTGGATCAGCCGAGCCCGTCTCCAGCTAGGCGAGCGCTTTCACTCGGACTTTCCTGTCCTGCGCTTGCACTCTGACAGGGGTGGTGAGTTCGCCTCCGACCTCTTGGCAGCCTACTGTGCTGAGCACGGCATTGAGCAGTCGTACACGCTTCCGGCCTCTCCACAGCAGAATGGGGTTGCTGAGCGCCGCATTGGCTTAGTCATGGAGGTCGCTCGTACCTCCCTGACCCATGCGGCTGCTCCCCACTTTCTGTGGCCGTTTGCGGTCCGGTACGCAGCGCATCAGCTCAACCTCTGGCCCCGTGTCTCCTTGCCGGAGACTTCCCCGACTCTACGGTGGACGGGAGAGGTTGGCGATGCGTCGCGTTTCCGGGTCTGGGGATCTCGAGCTTTTGTCCGCGACACGTCCGCGGACAAGCTCTCGCGTCGCACTGTTCCCTGTGTCTTTCTTGGCTTTGTTCCCGACGCGCCTGGATGGCAGTTTTACCACGTCACCTCGCGCCGGGTTCTGGCCTCTCAGGACGTCACTTTTGACGAGTCCGTCCCCTTCTACCGCCTCTTCCCCTACCGCACTGCCCCGCTCCCCCCCCCACCTCTCTTCCTCGCTCCAGGTGCTGAGGTACCAGACCCCCTCCCCCCTCAGGGTGCCGCTCCCTCAGGTGTGTCCCAGGTAGACCCGGGTGAGCCTGTCGAGGTAGCTGTTGACTCGCGTCCTGAGCCTGGGAGTGCTGCGTTTGAGGGTGCGGAGCCTGGGGGTGCTGAGCCTGGAGGTGCGGAGCCTGGGGGTGCTGAGCCTGGAGGTGCGGAGCCTGGAGGTGCGGAGCCTGGAGGTACTGAGCCTGGAGGTGTGGAGCCTGGGGGTGCTGAGCCTGGAGGTTCGGAGCCTGGGGGTGCTGAGCCTGGAGGTGCGGAGCCTGGAGGTGCGGAGCCTGGAGGTACTGAGCCTGGAGGTGTGGAGCCTGGGGGTGCTGAGCCTGGAGGTGCGGAGCCTGGAGGTGCGGAGCCTGGAGGTGCTGAGTCTGGGGGTGCTGAGTCTGGGGGTACTGAGCCTGAGCGTGCTCCACCTGGAGGAGACCCCTCCTCCCAGCAGCTGCAGGAGAGGTACCTCGAGTACTGCCGCCTCCGGAGAGGTGCTTCTGGAGCTCGTCCCGGTACTTCCCCTCCTACCCAGGAGCTCCCCCCCATTCAGGTGATCCGCGAGTGGTACACGCGGCGCTGCAGTCTTCGTAGTGGTGCTCCTGGTACTGCGGACCCGAGCGGTGGTGCTGTTGCTGGTGCTGAGGACCCGGACGCTGGAGCTGCTGCTGGTGCTGAGGACACGGGGGCTGGAGCTGCTGCTGGTGCTGAGGACCCGGACGTTGGAGCTGCTGCTGGTGCTGAGGACCCGACCGGTGGCGCTGCTGCTGGTGCTGAGGACCTGACCAGTGGCCCTGCTGCTGGTGTTGAGGACCCGGGCGTTGGAGCTGCTGCTGGTGCTGAGGACCCGACCGGTGGTGCTGCTGCTGGTGCTGAGGACTCGGGCGTTGGAGCTGCTGCTGGTGCTGAGGACTCGGGCGTTGGGGCTGCCACTGGTGTCCCTGCTGCTTCTGGAGACGCTGCGCGGCCGCGACCGTACTTCGTACCGCTCCTTCAGCAGGTTCTTGGTCAGGCTCCTCCTCCTTGTCCTCCTCCCTCCGTCGAGTGTCCTCTGCCTGTCCAGCCGCAGTCACAGTTACCGCCTGTCTCGCCTCTCCCTGCTCCCTCCCCTTACGCTGGTCCCACAGGAGGTCTTACAGAGCGTCGTGAGCCTGAGTCTCGTCCTGCGTCGCCTGTTCGTACTGCTCGCACTGGTCGTCGTGTCCCACGTGAGCGTCCTCCTCCTGTCCCTGGCACTCACTACATGACTCTGCGTCCCTCCACTGCTCCGCAGCGTGTCCCGCTGCCGTCTCCTCCTGCGTCCTCTCTTCCTACTCTTCCTGACCCGGAGTCTGACTCCCGTCGTGCTGCCAGTCCCACTGTTACGCGTCTCCTCGCTACAGTTGTCACTGACCCGACCTTTGAGTCCTCTGCTGCGTCTGCCCTGGTCGCTGAGTTGGTTGACTTTGCTGCTCGCTGTCGCCTAGACTACGCTGCCAGCCTTGTCGCTAGGTCTGAGTCTGCGTCTGCCTGTCCTCCGTCCGTCGGGGGTGAGTGTGCCCTCGGCACGGACGTCCTTGAGGACAGACAGGAGGAGTTCCACTGCCTTGCTGCTGCTTTGCCCCGTCTCGTGTCCTTGCTAGTTGCCCCTGAGGGAGACCCGGATGCACCAGACATCCCGACCCCACGCTCTTATGCTGAGGCGATGGCGGGTCCCTACTCCTCTCAGTGGCAGACAGCCATGGACGCAGAGATGGCTTCCTGGAAGTCCACAGGCACCTACGTAGACGAGGTTCCCCCTCCTGGGGCGAACATCGTCAGTGGCATGTGGATTTTCAGGGTGAAGCGGCCTCCGGGTTCTCCACCTGTCTTCAAGGCGCGCTACGTGGCTCGAGGCTTCAGTCAGCGAGAGGGAGTAGACTTCTTTCAGACCTTCTCCCCCACCCCGAAGATGACTATTCTTCGGGTGCTGCTGCACATAGCCGCTCACCGCGACTACGAGCTTCACTCTCTTGACTTCAGCACTGCTTTCTTGCAGGGCAGCCTGCACGAGGAGATCTGGCTGCGCCGCCCCCCTGGCTTCACTGGGTCATTTCCTCCTGGCACCCAGTGGAGGCTTCAGCGGCCGGTCTACGGTCTCCGCCAGGCGCCACGTGAGTGGCACGACACACTGAGGACGACACTTGCGGCTCTTGGGTTCGCTCCCTCTACTGCTGACCCGTCGCTGTTTCTACGCACCGACACCTCGCTGCCGCCGTTCTACATCCTCGTGTACGTCGACGACTTGGTCTTTGCCACTGCTGACACCGCGGCACTCGCTCACGTGAAGTCGGAGCTGCAGAGGAGACACACGTGCACAGACCTGGGTGAGCTGACGAGCTATCTTGGCTTGCGGATCACCCGGGACAGAGCACGGCGCACCATCACCCTGACTCAGTCACACATGGTGCAGCAGGTCCTCCAGCGCTTCCGCTTCACGTACTCCTCGCCTCAGTCCACTCCTCTGCCTACCGGTCACTCGCTCTCAGCTCTGCCTTCGGATGAGTCCGTAGAGCCGAGTGGCCCGTATCCAGAGCTTGTGGGCTGCCTCATGTACCTGATGACCTGCACTCGACCTGACCTTGCATACCCTCTTAGCATCCTAGCACGCTATGTCGCTCCTGGCCGTCACCGGAAGGAGCACATGGATGCTGCTAAGAGGGTGTTGCGCTACTTGTGCAGTACGTCGGGCATGGGGCTTGTGCTTGGAGGGCGAGACCGGGTTGTTCTCACAGGGCACTCAGACGCTTCTTGGGCAGACGACCAGGCTACTCAGCGGTCGTCCCAGGGTTACACCTTCAGCCTTGGCTCTGGCTCAGTTTCTTGGCGTTCTACTCGCTCTTCTTCTGTTCTCAGCTCCAGTTGTGAGGCTGAGATCTACGCCACAGCCATGGCTGCTCAGGAGCTACGCTGGCTGACCTACCTGCTGACCGACCTCGGAGAGCGGCCTCGTTCTCCTCCAGTGCTGTACGTCGACAACAAGGCTGCCATTGCCTTGTGTGAGGAGCACAGAGTGGAGCACAGAACGAAGCACATCGCTCTGCGGTACTTCCTTGCTCGAGAGCTACAGCAGCGTGGTCAGCTTTGTCTGCGTTACGTGGCCACGGAGGCCAACACTGCTGATGTGTTCACCAAGGCGCTTCAGCCTTGTGACCATCAGCGCTTCTGCACTCTGCTAGGCCTTGTACCTACTGGGCCTCACTTGCTTACCTCTTGACCTTACTTGTACTGTGATCACTATATATATATGCCTTCTTGCTTACTTTTGCTAGGTTGTGATCACTGTATCTCTTACTTTGTTATAAACCTGCATGTGAACTGGTCTTGTGACCGCTTGCTTGTGCTCGGAATTTGTGTGGAATCCTTGAGATCCACCCTGAGCTTGCTTTGCTTTGCTTTGACTGGTCTTGTGACCCTGTGGTTGTTTCCCACTGCGCCTATGGGGGTGTGTCAAACATTGCATGTTTATATTGTCTAGGCTGTAGTGGGTTACACCTTAGGGGGTACACAAAGTTAGGGTTTCCTACTTGTACCAAACTCTGTTCTAGTTCATTCATTCCTGCTCAGTTATTTCTGACACACAGTACAAGCAGGGTCAAGAAGTAAGCAAATGAGGTCCAGTAGGCACAAGGCCTAGCAGAGTGCAGAAGCGCTGATGGTCACAAGGCTGAAGCGCCTTGGTGAACACATCAGCAGTGTTGGCCTCAGTGGCCTCTTTTTTTTTCATATCGAGGCAAAATCTGGCGGTTTTGAGGGCCTCGAACATTCGTTCGTGCAGAAATCAAAGCCGAGATTGTTTTAGAACGTGCTTTGGAATATAGGCTTTTTGGATATGCAAAACAAATCTTGTGGACGCATGCATTTTCCCATGCATAGGGCGATTATGCCGCATTTTTTTCATATCGCGGCAAAATTTGGCGGTTTTGAGGGCGTAGAACATTCGTTCGTGCACGAATCAAAGCCGAGATTGTCTTAGAAGGTGCGTTGGAACATAGGCTACTCGGATATGCAATAAAAAGCTGGTAGTCGCACGCATTTTCCCATGCATAGGGCGATTATGCAGCTTTTTTTTTTATTTGGCGGCAAAATTTGGCGGTTTTGAGGGCGTCGAACATCCGTTCGTGTACGAATCAAAGCAAGATTATCTTAGAAGGTGCATTAGAGCATAAGCTATTCGGATATGCAAAACAAATCTGGTAGTCGCACGCATTTTTTTATGCATAGGGAGATTATGCCGCATTTTTTCCATTTTGCGGCAAAATCTGGCGGTTTTGAGGGCGTCAAACATTCGTTCGTGCACGAATCAAAGCCGAGATTGTCTTAGAAGGTGCGTTGGAACATAGGCTACTCGGATATGCAAAAAGAATCTGGTAGTCGCACGCATTTTCCCATGCATAGGGCGATTATGCCGCATTTTTTTCATTTGGCGGCAAAATTTGGCGGTTTTGAGGGCGTCGAACATCCGTTCGTGTACGAATCAAAGCCGAGATTGTCTTAGAAGGTGCGTTGGAACATAGGCTACTCGGATATGCAAAACAAATCTGGTAGTCGCACGCATTTCCCCATGCATAGGGCGTTTATGCCGCATTTTTTTCATTTGGCGGCAAAATTTGGCGGTTTTGAGGGCGTCGAACATCCGTTCGTGCACCAATCAAAGCCGAGATTGTCTTAGAAGGTGCATTGGAGCATAGGCTACTTGGATATGCAAAACAAATCTGGTAGTCGCAAGCATTTTCCCATGCACAGGACGATCATGTCGCATTTTTTCATATCGCGGCAAAATTTGGCGGTTTTTAGGGCGTCGAACATTCGATCGTGTACAAATCAAAGCCGAGATTGTCATAGAAGGTGCATTGGAACATAGGCTACTCGGATATGCAAAACAAATCTGGTAGTCGCACGCATTTTCCCATGCACATGACGATTATGTCGCATTTTTTCATATCGCGGTAAAATTTGGCAGTTTTGAGGGCGTCGAACATTCGTTCGTGTACAAATCAAAGCCGAGATTGTCTTAGAAGGTGCGTTGGAACATAGGCTACTCGGATATGCAAAACAAATCTGATTATCGCACGCATTTTCCCATGCACAGGGCGATTATGTCGCATTTTTTTCACATCGCGGCAAAAATTGGCGGTTTTGAGGGCGTCGAACATCCGTTCGTGTACGAATCAAAGCCGAGATTGTCTTAGAAGGTGCGTTGGAACATAGGCTATTTGGATATGCAAAACAAATCTGGTAGTCGCACGCATTTTCCCATGCATAGGGCGATTATGCCGCATTTTTTTCATTTGGCGGCAAAATTTGGCGGTTTTGAGGGCGTCGAACATAGCTAGGAGTGCGACGGACCAGCTAGGTGTGAGGCGGACCAGCTAGGAGTGCGACGGACCAGCTAGGAGTGCTACGGACCAGCCTGTGTAGAAATTCCCCGAGTGCGGGGGCGGGGCCGGAGGCGACGGGCAACCAAACTACTACAGCTGCAGAGGGGAGGGCAGCAGCAGCTGCAGAGCGGAGGGCAGCAGGAGCTGCAGGGCGGAGGGCAGCAGCCCAATCAGAGCGGAGGGCAGCAGCAGCTGCAGTGCGGAGGGCAGCAGGAGCTGCAGGGCGGAGGGCAGCAGCCCAATCAGAGCGGAGGGCAGCAGCAACTGCAGAGCGGAGGGCAGCAGCAACTGCAGAGCGGAGGGCAGCAGCAGCTGCAGAGCGGATGGCAGCAGCAGCTGCAGAGCGGATGGCAGCAGCAGCTGCAGAGCGGAGGGCAGCAGCCCAATCAGAGCGGAGGGCAGCAGCAACTGCAGAGCGGAGGGCAGCAGCAGCTGCAGAGCGGAGGGCAGCATGAGCTGCAGGGCGGAGGGCAGCAGCCCAATCAGAGCGGAGGGCAGCAGCAGCTGCAGAGCGGAGGGCAGCAGCAGCTGCAGAGTGGAGGGCAGCAGCCCAATCAGAGTGGTGGGCAGCATCAGCTGCAGAGCGGAGGGCAGCAGGAGCTGCAGAGCGGAGGGCAGCAGCAGCTGCAGAGCGGAGGGCAGCAGCCCAATCAGAGCGGAGGGCAGCAGCAGCTGCAGAGCGGAGGGCAGCAGCCCAATCAGAGCGGAGGGCAGCAGCAACTGCAGAGCGGAGGGCAGCATGAGCTGCAGGGCGGAGGGCAGCAGCAGCTGCAGAGTGGGGGGCAGCAGCAACTGCTGCAGAGCGGAGGGCAGCATGAGCTGCAGGGCGGAGGGCAGCAGCAGCTGCAGAGCGGAGGGCAGCAGGAGCTGCAGAGCGGAGGGCAGCAGCAGCTGCAGAGCGGAGGGCAGCAGCAACTGCTGCAGAGCGGAGGGCAGCATGAGCTGCAGGGCGGAGGGCAGCATGAGCTGCAGGGCGGAGGGCAGCAGCAGCTGCAGAGCGGAGGGCAGCAGCAACTGCAGAGCGGAGGGCAGCAGCAGCTGCAGAGCGGAGGGCAGCAGCAGCTGCAGAGCGGAGGGCAGCAGCAGCTGCAGAGCGGAGGGCAGCAGGAGCTGCAGAGCGGAGGGCAGCAGCAGCTGCAGAGCGGAGGGCAGCAGCCCAATCAGAGCGGAGGGCAGCAGCAGCTGCAGAGCGGAGGGCAGCAGCCCAATCAGAGCGGAGGGCAGCAGCAACTGCAGAGCGGAGGGCAGCAGCAGCTGCAGAGCGGAGGGCAGCATGAGCTGCAGGGCGGAGGGCAGCAGCCCAATCAGAGCGGAGGGCAGCAGCAGCTGCAGAGCGGAGGGCAGCAGCAGCTGCAGAGTGGAGGGCAGCAGCCCAATCAGAGCGGAGGGCAGCAGCAGCTGCAGAGCGGAGGGCAGCAGCAGCTGCAGAGCGGAGGGCAGCAGCAGCTGCAGAGTGGAGGGCAGCAGCCCAATCAGAGCGGAGGGCAGCAGCAGCTGCAGAGCGGAGGGCAGCAGCGGCTGCAGAGTGGGGGGCAGCTGCAGCTGCAGTGCGGAGGGCAGCAGCAGCTGCAGAGCGGAGGGCAGCAACAGCTGCAGAGCGGAGGGCAGCAGCAGCTGCAGAGCGGAGGGCAGCAACAGCTGCAGAGCGGAGGGCAGCAGGAGCTGCCCGATGGGGTGCAGCTTGCGAGGCTGCCAGAGGGGGAGATGGAGATGGAGTCGAGCAGACAGGTCTTGCCGGCGTGTTCGAGTGGAGAGGAGCACCCAGACCCTATGCTGACACCCCCGCCCCGCATCCCGTGCGAAACCTGTTATCGCACTTTCACGGAGAGAGGAGAGGCCACGCGTCATATGTCGGCCTGCAGGGCAGCGGACGCCAAGCGCCGTGCACAGGCGCTTGGGTTGACCCGCGACGTCACAGACGACTCGGACAGCGAACCTCCGCCACCACGGGATATCAGTGAAGAGGTGTGGGCCGCAGTTCCCACATGGGACTGGGAGTCGTTTTTCGGGATCGAATTGGTGCCAGGGAGAATCATGCGTCGCATCCCACAGCGCGCAAGACTGGGGGTGCTTGATGCACTAGCTTGTATCCTGAAGCGGCTCAAGTCAAAGGCAGCAGACGAGGCGGCATCCTTGGTGTTTTTGGCCTTCCCTCGTCTTTTCTTGGGGATTCCAACCGGGCAAGGCCAGGGGCAGAGGGCGGCAATTAGGGAGCGGTTGGAGAAGTTTTGGGCTGGGGAGTGGCAGCAGCTGTTTGAGTTGGCGGTGGCGGCGATGCAACCTGCGGCTCGCCCCTTGTCCTTCACCCCATTCGAGCATGATCCTGATGCCGTGCGCCTATCCCGCTGCCGTACAAGGTGCAAAGTGGGAGAATGGAGTCGGGGTTTGGCGTGCCTTACGGCTGGTAGCATCGCTCAGCCCTCTCAGCACATGGTGGACGCGCTACGAGCGAAACACCCATCGTGCGAGTCCGCCATTCCTGGGTGGGTGCAGGAGGAGACAGTCGAGCCTTCCCTTATCCCACAGCTCTCAGTGGAGGTACTCGGCCAGGCGATCCACTCAGCGGCTAGGGCGTCCGCACCAGGACCGTCGGGGTGGGTGACGGAGCACCTGCGCGACACTTTTCTCTCTGAGCCCGCGTATCTGTCCCACCTGCTAGAGGTCTTCACCCAGTGGACCAAGGGAGAGGTAGCGGAGCGCGTGCGACCCTGGCTCACTGCGTCCAACTTGGCGGCCCTGTCGAAGCCGAATGGTGACGTTCGCCCGGTGGCTATAGGCGAGGTGCTCCCCCGCATACTATCTCGGGCCATATGCATCGTGCTTCGCCCGAAGATGATGTCGCACTTTGCTCCGTGTAACCAGTTTGGAGTCGGGTCCAGGTCGGGAGTGGAAGTCCTCGCACATGCCTTTCGCTCCGCCATCTCTACTCACCCGTCGTGGTGCGCGCTGCAAATTGACGTGGCGAACGCTTTCAACTCCTTCCATCGGCGGGAAATGTTTGAGGGTCTTCGACAGTCGCCTTTCAAGGGATTGATTCCATTTCTGCGTGTCTTCTATGGCACTCCTAGCGACCTCTATCTCCGAGCGGGCCCTTTTGTCGAAGCTTTGGCTTCCGAGCGGGGCTCGAGGCAAGGGGATCCATTGGGTCCGTTTCTGTTCGCGTTCACACAGCAGCTGGTTATGGAACCAACCAAAACGGAGTACGCCGACTTACTCTTCCTCAGCTATGCTGACGATACGTATATCCTGGGGCCTAGGGAACGGGTTCTAGCAGCCTATGAGGCCTTGCGGGAACGACTGGACGGGCTGGGTTTGGAGGTGCAGCCGCATAAGTGTAAGCTATGGGAGCGAGGGAGGGACCAGGATGGGGAGGAGAGAAATGAGACTGTCCCGCCCGGCATGCAGCAGACATGGACGGGGCTCACTGTGGTAGGGGTGCCCATTGGGGAGGAGGACTGGGAGGTGGCTAGCCTGCGTCGCCGGCTGACGGAGCTGCATGCACCTGTCCCCTGGCTTCCTCTGCTTGACCACCCACAGATTGCGTCCCATTTGTTGGCGATCGCAGTGTCGGCGCGCCCGATCTACCTCACACGGACGATGCCTCCACGACCTGAGGGCTCTCGCTAGGATTCTGGCCTGTCTGACAGTATCTGTAAAAAAAAAAAAAAATCGTCTTACGCTCAGATTGGCCTTTTTTTTTTTTCTGACCTCTAAGATGAAACATTAATACCAGTCTGAAAAAAAAGATGAACTAATCTACGGGGCCTACGCGGTGCGGGGTTTGGGCGGGGACCACAGTTACGTGCATCCGAGATGCATACAGGTCACACCCCATTGCACAAAATGACGGTGTCGGTGCCTCTTGGGTGTGGCTGGCATCGGCGCCTACACCCACGCAGCGACAAAGTGCTGGCAGCGTTGCACATACGTAGTTAGCTGCTGCCAGCGGTGCTGTTTCCTCCAGCGCGGATGCTACGGGACCGAGGCATTCATTGCGCGTACATGTATACAAGCTGGCAGATACCCTAACTAGTGGCCCTATGGACAAGTGGGCAGAAATGTCGGTTTCAGACGGAATCGTACTCGTTATCTGGTGTCTAAGATGAAGCATAGTATGCGATCTGAAAATGTATCTGAAGTAAAATCATTTGTCTTACTGATCATCTGAAGTAAAATCATTTGTCTTACAGATCATCTGAAATAAGAAAATTAAGTCTGAAACGCAGACCATCAGACCAAATTGGTCTGCTAACGAGAGCCCTGCTCCACGACCTGAGGTTGTGGAGGCTTTTCGGGACTGGGACACGAAGCTGGAAGATTGTTTCGAGGAGCTGTTTCCAGATAGTACCTGGGATCACGATTCGGGGAAGTCCCAGATGGCTCGTTTACAGCTGCACCTTCCTGCCAGACTCGGGGGGTTCGGCATTCGATCTGCGGCTGACCTTAGTCCTCTGTCGTATGCATGTGGCTGGTGCCAAGCAGTGAGCGATGTGGCTCGGTTGGGGGTGGCAGGTGAGGAGCGGATGTTTGAGGAGTTTTTCCGCACGCCCGAGGCTACGACCTTGTTGGACCCCTGGTTTGCGAGAGCAGTGGATCTGCTTCCACAGTCGGTTCGGCAGGAGATGCCACCCCTTGCCTTGTGCACCGCTGATCCGCCTATGCTGCTCTTCCCCACACAACACCGTCGCCTGGCGGTTGAGAGCCTCCAATCTCTTCGAGGCATGGCCCACAACGATGCCACCCTGGCCCGTTTGACATCCCTTCAGGGCCCGGGGGCTGGGGCGTGGGTTTCTGCCGTTCCTTCGCACGAGGAGGCTACCTTCACCGCAGCCGAGTGGAGCATCTGCGCGTCCATGCGCCTAGGCCTCCCTATTCAGCAGCTGATAGTGGCCGGCAAGTGCGCGTGTGGGTTTGAGTTTGCTGATCCCTCTGACCCGCATCATGCCCTTCGCTGCAAGTATCAGTATGCACCTTCTCGGGTTCACGATGCGGTTAAATTTGTGGTGGCGAAGATAGCTAAGGGTGCGGGTGGGATTGTGACCATGGAAGACGACACGTTGCTCCCAGGGAAGAGGGTTGATGTGGCGGTTCGGAAACTGAGGGAGGGGGAGGAGCACGCGCTGGAGGTTAGTGTGGTAGATCCTATCTCGCTATCCGCGCAGCACCATGGACAGATTGGTCGCAAGGTGGGTTTTGCCGCGAGAGAGAGAGAAAAGCGGAAGACGGCGGACTACAAATCGCTTCTACAGCGGCATGGGGGAGTGCAGTTCACACCACTCATTGCTGAGACATGGGGATGCTTGGGGGGGAGTTTTGGACGGTGGCTTAAGAAGCAGGGTGACGCGCAGATCGAGATAGCAAAGACGAAAGGGGCGGCGCGAGCTACGGGAAAGGGTTTCTCGGCTTATTTGCTCGGATCGCTCAAAGCGGCTGTGGGTGTGGCTTTGCAACGGGCTCAGGCGCGTGTGATCTTGTTACGCGCGGCGTCGATGATGAGAGGCCCAGAGGCTGTTTGGGTGGAGCGGGAGGATGTTGAGGAGGAGATGGGATGGGATGCTCCGTGGGCGGATGCACCATACTTGGTAGACATGCGGGTTTAGGGAGTGGGTTTAGGGGGGGAGGTTTGGTTCGATGGGAGTGCAGTTGGGGTGCTTTGATGGGAGGGCTTGATGGTGTTTTAAATGTGTGTGCTATTGGGGTTTTCTTGGGGTTGTGTGTGCTGCTTTTTCTTCCTTCTTCCCTGTTTTTCTTCCTCCTATCATTTTTCCCCTATTCCCCTCCTTCTTTCTTCCTCTCTCCTTTTTTCTACTCACGTTATTCCTCCTTTTCTCCTCTCTTCCCGTTTCCACTCCTTTTCCTTGCGTAATTATGCTACATTGTAATATTTTGAAGTAATACAAGTAGAAAAATGAACTTCATATATTTTGCAAACGCTTATTTTCCCGCGTTCATTCCCGACCTAGTCTGCCTCACTATCGGTTTGTGGATTTAGGGGGCCTATGGTTTGGGATGCTTTCGTTAGCTTCACTTATTTAGAGCTTTGAAACGTTACCTATAGGTTTCCGTACTGCTATCTCCTGTCCTAAGCACAGCACGATCGTGTACTAGCGAGCGATTTTAAACGTTTTTTGTCCTTGGAATCATTGCCATGAGGCCATCAGTGGCAGCAGTCGACTGGGTGGAGGACGAGTGGTCCGCGGCGCCGTGCGAGTCGTCGCCGCCAGCCTCCTCTGCACCCGCCGCTTCACCGCTTACCCTAACCGCTCCGCCCAAGCGTTTCAATTCGCTCGCCTCCTCGTTTCTTCCCGCCGCCATCTTCGCGCGTCCCTCGCCGCCGGCCGTCTCGCGGCTCCTCGCCGACGGGGCTGCGGCGGCTGGCGGCGACGGCGAGGAGTGCGAGGCTGAGGGCGGGCCGTACGCGGCGTGGGAGGAGGACGGGGAGTGGGAGGAGGCCGACGGTAACGACGGGCGTGGGATCGGCGCTGCTGAGGTAGGGTCGCAACCTCTTTCACCGCCCTCCCCCCGCGTCGCTCTCGCCGCCCTCCACGCTTCTCCAGCCGCTCACTTCCCTCGAAGCGCGAGCCCCCTCCTCCTTCCGCCGGCATGCCGCCACCATTGGCAGCAGCGCCGGCAGCAGCGCGGACGGCGCCCGTTCTCTCGCCGGCAAGCTCTGGGGGGCGCTGGCTCCTCGCTCCACACACGCGCACCTGCTCAGTGACGTCAGCAGTGGTAGCGCCAACATCAGCAGCGCGCCTCCCCTCAGTTCGGGAGGGGCAACTGGTCGGCGGGAGGGGGGACGCTGAGCGCTGTGGGCGCGCAGGACAGCAGGGAGGGGTTGGGAGGGATGGCGTGTGGTGGTGAGGGTGGGGAGGGTGCGGGGGATGGCGAACGCGCAGGACCGCGCATGGGCAGAGCAGGCTGCGCGGTTTGACGTCCTGGACGTGCTGGTTTGACGTGCTGGTAGTGGCACTGGGGCGCAGCTGGCGGTGAGGACGCGGTGGCTGTGTTCCAGCTGGGTAACGCGTCGCACTTCAACCGCACCGCGGTGTTTCGGTCGTTCAGCCCCACGCACCCGCGCAAGGAGTGCGCCGCGCGCACCTTCCTCCCCGATGCCGTGAGATTCTCCCTTGTACCCTCTTGCTGCTTGCCCCCTGCCTTCTCTGCTCTGCTGTTGCTTGGCACTGCTCTGCACTATCTGCCTTCTTCCTTGCACCCTGATGCTGCTTGCCTTGCCCTTTTTCCTGCTCTGCTTGGCTCTGCTCTGCTGTGCCCTGCTCTTCTCTCTCTGCTCTCTCTGTTCCTGAATTCCCACCCATTGATATCGTGCACCCACTTGCCTCCCCCCCCCTGTCCTGCATGGCGCATGATGAGAGTGGAGATGTTGGGGAGTGGAGAGTGAGGAGCATGCAGCAGTTGTGATGGGGGAGGCACGGCGCTACGATGATGCCATGGCCATGGCGCAGGACAGCACCCACACCTCCACCATCACCAACGCTCGATACTTTGATACTTAGCATTGTTATCAAGATGTTGTAAAAACAAAAAGGGTTACCAAACCAACGACTGTTGGCTACCACCTGTCAACAGTTCCAGTTGGTCGCCAATTGCCAAGTATGCTTAGAACGTGACACAATGTCAGTCAGTTGTGTGTGCTTTCTTCAGCAGCAAACCAAACACACCTGGTCAGACGAACTGCAATAATATAACAACTGCTACAGTACCTAATGCTCTTTTGAGGTCCCACATGGAAGAAATTGGAGTGTCGTCACTCAAAGAAAGGGCAAAGAACGCTGCGCTGAAGCCCGCCATGGCATGGTGCTTCTCCTACTTCTACCGACCTATCACCAGCCTTTCCAACAGCGAGGGCAGCTTCCCCTTACCACCTGCTGCCTCTGCTCGGCTGCTCTTGCCATCAGCATCACCTGAAGCTCCCTCAGAGCCTACGACTGTTCCTCCCTGCTGCCCCTGCACACCCTTCTTTCTAACAGTCCCCTGACTGCCTGTGCCTCCTGTGGACGTCCCCTGCTCCTTGCCACTGCTGCTGCTGCTGGTGCTACTCCTTGTGGTGGTGGTGCTGCTGGTGGTACAGGTCACAGTGGAAGAGAGCCCTCCTGCACTGCAGCTGCCACTACTACTGCTGCTACCTGTGCCCATGCCATCAGCACCCACGGTGCCGCTGCTCCGGTTTTTACTGCTGCCGCTTCTCCGACTGTTGATGCTATTGCTGTTGCTGTTAGCACATGCCTCTTCTTCACTCACCTCCCACTGCCGGTTGACTCCCTCTCTGCTGCTCTTGCTGCTGCTCTGCTTCGCTATCTCCCTTGCGCTGCCACCATCAGAAGAAGAGGACCGTAAGGAATCGCCAGGAGCAAAGTCGAACGGCATCGAGTGCCGCCGTGCCTGCCCGCTGCCACTCCCACTGCTGCTGCTCTTGTCCTCGTTATTAGCAGCCTCATTGCGCTTTCTGTGCGCGGGAGGGTCGATAAGGGTGTATTTCTTCCTGCTTGTCGGGGTGGTCGGGAGGGCCATGGAGGGCGGGGAGGTGGGACTGGGGCAGGATTTACTGTGAAGAGTGGCACCACCAGCAGCACTACGTGCAGGAGCGGCACTAGGGGCGCCAGCAGCAGGAGCGGCCGCAGCCACAGCAGCAAGAGAGGAGGCACGCGGTCGAGTTACTGGAGTGGCCGCATGGCTGATCGCTAAAGGAATGTCCAGGGCAATGGGATCATCAGCAATAGGGATTTTGGGGTTGGCAACGCCACTGCTGCCCTTCGCATGTGTGGCTGCAGCGGCACTGCTACCACTGCTGCCACTGCTGGTTATCCCAGACTGCCCCAACCGCCCCTTCGCCCGCCCTACCGCTGCAGAGGCTGTTTTTGGTCGCTGCTGCTCGCCCTGCCTCTGCCCCTTCCCCTTCGCCTTTCCCTTCCCCTTCCCTCGTTCCTCTTCCTCCTGCTGCTGCTTCTGCTGCTGCTGCTCCTTCAAATAGTGCTCGCTCCTTGGCTTCCTCCCTTCAATCCAGCTCCCACCACCAAAGCCACGAGTACGCCCTCCCCCAGTCCCACCTGCCGCAACAGCGCCAGTTGAACCTGCAGCAGTAGAGGCAGACACACTAGCAGCACCGCTGGCACTGCTGCTCCTGAACCAGCTGTCACCAGCCTTGCTGGGAGTGCTCCCTGAGGGGGTGCGGGGTGATGCAAGCAAGGAGGAGAAGGAGGAGAGGGCGGAGAGGGAAGGCCGGGCAGAGGGGCGGGAGAAGGCGAGGCGAGGCGAGCAGGAGGGGGGGACATTGGAGGCATGCAGCTCGTCTGGATACATGTGCTGCTCCTGCTCCTCATTGTACTCCTGCTCGTGCTGCTGCTGCTGGTGTGGCTGGGACGAGTGCGAGAGGAAAAAAGGACTCTTGCCGGCGTTGCTGCTGCCTGCTCGCCCCTTGCCCAGGTTGCTGCCGCTGCCTGTGCTGCCAGTGAACGCCCCAAGCGACGCAGACAGCAGCGAGCGAGGCGTGAAGATGCTGCGACGAGGGGTGAGAGGCGTGGAAGGGGTGAGAGGCGTGGAGGGAGTGAGAGGCGTAGAGGGAGTGAGAGGGGCTGTGGGGGTGGTTGGAGCGGGAGTAAGGGCGGAGGAAGAGGGGGAAGAAAAGGCGGGGGAGTGAGGGGGTGAGATGGATGCGGTAGGGGGCACGTGGATGACAAGAGAGCTGGCGGGGTGGAAGCGGAAGCTCCTCTGCTCCTCCGTGCCCTTGATGGCAGCACCAATGCTGTCCCCTCTGCTGGGCCCTGTCCGCCCATGCCCCTCCTGTGCGCTGCCCCCAGCGAGTGCGGCACTGCCAGGGCTCCATGCAGTGAGCTTGAACGACCCCAGGTGCAGAGGTGAGAGCAGCGCTGCCTTGCGGCCCTGCCCTTCCCCCTCATCGCATGCGCTCACAGCCCTTTCCTCCTCCTCCGAACCACTCTCGCCATCCTCCCTGCTTGCCTCGCTGCCGCTGCGACTCTCCTCGTGGCTGGTAGCAGGCTGGGATGCATCCCGCCGGCTGATATCCCTCACAGCGTCTGCCGATGCTGCATCCACCACAGCCTCTGCCCTCGCACTGGCCTCATCTGCTACGTCACCACCTGCCATGTCATCACCTGCGCTGTCACCACATGCCACATCACGATCTGCATCGCCAGCACCTGCCACGTCAGTATCTGCCACAGTGGCTGCTTCTGCCTGCAAGTCATGACGTGCTGTTGCTGCAGCTGCTTCCTTCTCTCGCCCCTCCTCTGCCCGCACAGACCCTGCAATCGGCAGCGGCTCCATCTGCTGCCCCTGCTGCTGCTCGTGCTCCTCTTGCCCACCATTCTCCTGCTGTTCTGCTTCCATCTGCTCCCCAGTCTCTTGGTCCTGGGGCGCATCACCACTAGCGCCATTACTTGCATTACCGCATGCATCACGCGCTTCCAGTCCCACCAGCAGCACCTCATCCTCTACAGGCACCATGCCATACACATGCACCCCCCTCGCCTCCTCGCCCTCCTCGTCCCCCTCCTCCCCCTCCTCCACTTTCCCCTCTTCTTCCCCTACCTTCCCGTCCTCCAACTCCTCCCCCGCCTCCTCCTTCTCGTCCTCCTCCCCCTCCTCCCCGCTCCCCCCTTGCTCCTCGTCATCTCCCCCCTCCTCCCCATCACCACACGGCAGTGCGTCCCCACCATCCTGCACCCACCCCTGCTGCCCACATGTCTGCACCCCCGTGCTGCCTCCCTGGTGCGCAACTCCATCCATAGCAGCCGCAACCACAGTAGCACCACTGCCAGCATCATTGCCAGCAGCACCGGCAACAGCGGTGCTGCTCATCTCAACAAGCAGCTCCTCCAAGTGTGAAGCTGCCTGTGCGTGCTGCTGCGAGTCAGTGTCATCGCCACCATCGCCACGGGTGTCAGAAGTAAAAGCATAAGAGTGAGCCGCATCACCTGCCCCGTTTTCACATGCAGCGCCGGGCGCAGGAGGAGGAGGGGAAGGTGCGGGATGGATGGTCGCAGGGGAGGCGTGTATGAGGGAAGGTGCCACATCAAGGGGCGCATGCACAGCGCCATGTGAGGGCGCCTGCATGGGTGCGTGCATGGGTGCCTGCATGGGGGCATGCATGGGGGCATGCATGGGGGCATGCACGGTGCCATCCATGGGCGCATGCAGGTCCAGACTGAAGTCTGAGGAGGAGGCACAGCTGCTTGAACCCGTGTGGCATGGCGTGGCCTCACCCGCAGCAGCAGTAACGGCAGCAGCAGCAGCAGCAGCAGCAGCAGCAGCAGCAGCAGCAGCAGCAGCAGTAGGGGTGGGAGGCAGAGAGTGGTCCACAGGTGAGGCCAGGGAGGCATGGGCGTGTGAGAGCACGGAGTCTGATCCACTGCTGCTCTTCCTCCGCTTCTCCCCATCCCTCCCTCGCCTCGCTCCCCCTTCCCTCCCGCCCACCTCCTTCTCACCTTCCTCCTCCTTCTGCTTCCCTTTCTCCTCACTATGCTTCCCTTTCTTTTCCTTATGCTCCCCATTCTTCTTCTTCCCATGGCCCTTCCTATCACTGCGCTCCTCTCGCTTCTCCTCATGACTCCCTTTCTCTCCCGCACTCTCTACCTTCGTTCGCCCCTCTTTCCCTTTCTTCCCCTCTTTCTCCCCCCCATGCTTCCCCTTGTCCACTTCACCCTCCCCCATCTCCCCCCCATGCTTTCGCTTCTCCTCCCTACTGTGCCGCTTCTCCTTCCGCTGCTTCTCCCCTTTCTTGTCCCGTTCCCTCTTCCCACTCTCATCCCCCTCCGCCACCTTACCCAAGTCCCTCTGTTCTCGTCCCCCTTCTCCGCTCTCCTTCCCTTCAAACGTGTTTCCCTCAAGAACCGCATGCTCCTGCGCTCCACCCTTCACTTGCACCCCATGCCCCACTGCACCCATCTCAACCGCTTCACATACTGCTGCACCACCTCCCACCACCTCCACAGCTGTTCCCCACTCGTCTCTCTCTCCGTGCCTTCCGTGCCGCTTCTCAATCCTCTTTGGGCTCTTCTCCACCCCTCGTGGGCTCTTCTTTGACCTCTTTGGACTCTTCTCTGCTGCTGCACCTTTCGGGCTCTTGGAGACCTTCCCTGCTTTCCTCGAGCTCTTTTCTGGGTGCTTCGGGGTCAGAACCCCCTGCTCCTTTCCCTCCCCATGCTCCTCCTCATGTCCTTTCTCATGTTCCTTCTTATGCCTGCTGCTCTTGTGCCGGCTGCTCTCGTGCCTGCTGCTCTCCTTGCTTCCTGACCTCTCATGACCTCTCTTGTGCTCCTCATCATGCCGTTTCTCCTTGCATGCGCCTGCGCTCCCGCCCACCCCTGCATGCACGTGAGCATCAGACCCCTTCGCCAGCTTCTTATGCCGTCCCCCATGCTCTCCCCTCTTCTCCCCTTCCGCGCTCACCCTCTCACTCCCTTGGGCTTCATTCCTGTCCGCATCCCCTGACACCTGCTCTCCGTTCTCTCTCTCCACTCCCTCCTCATGCACCTTCCTCCTCTGCCCTCCCTTCTTCCCCTTCTCGCCCCCAGTGCTCCTCTCCCGCTGCCGCTCCTCTCCCCTGCTGCCACCTGCGACCCCACCCTCGCCCTCATCTGCGCTCAACAGCACGCCACTCGCATCGCTCTCCGCACTCCCACTCGCTCTCCTACGCCGAACCACATTGCCGCTCGCCCTCCCACTCCCTCCTACACTCCCGCTTGACCTGCCACTCCCACCCACACTCCCGCTCGACCGCCCACTCCCATGCTCCTCACTGCTGCGCCCACTGCCCGCCCCTCCACCCCTTCCTCCCGCACCCACTCTGCGTGCGTCCAGGGCCCCACCCGCCTCACACCCCGCCCTGCCCGTTGCCTGCTGCGCCACTGGCGTGGCAAGGGGAGAGTCAACACCAGAGGCAGAAGTGGCAACAGCGGAAGAATGAGCGGCAGGGGACGGATAGGCAGCAGGGTGAGGGTGGGGGACAGGCACGTGGGGTGAACGGGCCGCTGCATGTGTGCTGCGTTGCTCAGGTGCCCTTGCTCCTACTGCCTTGTGCAGTGCAGGCTGAGGGGAGCACGGGCGCTGCAGTGGCGTGACTGAGGGGCGCTCCTGAGGGGCTGTGGAGGAGCGCTGTAGTGGGGCGGTTGCAGGGCGGTCTGATGCTCGTGCCCCTGCACGCCTCACACCACTCCCCACAGCACTGGGTAAGGGAGTGGGGGAAGAGGGGCGTGGTGACGGGGAAGCGGGGCGTAGTGAGGGGGAAGATGGGCGTAGTGAGGGGGAAGAGGGGTGCAGTGAGGGGGAAGAGGGGCGCATTGAGGGGGAAGAGGGGCGTAGTGAGGGGGAAGAGGGGCGTAGTGAGGGGGAAGAGGGGCGCAGTGAGGGGGACAAAGGGCGCAGGGCGGGGGAAGAGGGGCGTGGTGCAAGGGCAGACGGGCGCAGTGCCGAAGTAGGAACCCCAGGTGCAGCAGTGTGGACACCGGAGGCAGAAGCAGCGGCAGCAGCAGCAGCGGCAGCAGCAGCGGCGGCAGAGAGCAGAGGGTGGCAGGCTGAGAGTCTTCACAAGGCCTCTGGGTCGACCAGGCTGGCGGTGCTGGTGGTGTGGGGGCTGCTGCTCATGGGGGTGCTGTGGGGACTGCTGTTGATAGGGGTGATGTGGGGACTGCGATGGTTGGAGTGGAGACTGCTGCTGACGCTGAGAGCTAGAGCGCGACGGGTCAGAGAGACGGGAGGCAGCAGGAGCAGGTTGCGCGTGGGGCAGAGCAAGGGCAGCAGGGTGAGGCACGCTGGAGCTGCGGGTCAGCAGCCGCCTGCTGCCTGCGCCTGCACCCACACCCACCCTCCGCTCTGTCACAACCCCCTCTGCATTCCGTAACTCTTGCCCTGCCATGCCCTGCTGCACGCCTCCCTGCCCATGTCCCCTTTGCACCTCACGCTGCCCCCTCTCGGTCTCCTTCTCTCTCTCCTCGTCCTTCCCCATCTCCTTCGATTTCCTCTGCTCATGCGCCGTCATCTGCTCCTGCGTCTCATGGTGTGCATGTCTCTCACTCTGGGACCGTGCCTCCCCCCTCACCGCATGGCCCATCTCCTTCTCTTCCCCATGTGCCTCATACACCCACGTCGGTTGCCCCGCCTGCTTCTGCCATCCTGATTTCCACGGCGATTCACGTTCCCCACCACTACCCCCACCACTGCCCCCATCACTTCTCCCCTTCCCTGCTTCCGCATCCCTTGCTGTGCTCTGCCGCCCCTCCCTCTCCTCCCCTCCGCCCACACCCTCCTCCTTGTTGCCCTCGCCCCCGCCACAGTCACTCTCCCCTCTTGTTCCCTCACTCATCCTCCCCGCCTCTCGCTCCTCCCTGTGACATCTCACCTCTACTTCCTCACCTCCTCTCACGTTCTCGTGATTCGATTTCGAATCGTCTCCCAGACTCCTCCTTCTCACCTCACACACATCTTGCTTCCCTTCATCCTTCTTCTCCTTCTCCCTGTCCTGCTCCGTCTCTTCCACCCCTTCATCGCCCTTCCTCTCCACCCCATCTCCTCCCCCATTCCTCTCCCCATTCCCCTCACTCTTCCGCTCTGCGTTCCTCTCCCCCTTGCCCTCCGCCCTCCTTTCCACCTCACTCCGCCCTCTCCTCCCCTCCCCATCCACAACCCTCCCCTCACCCACCGCGCTCCCTTCACTCTCCTCGCCTTCCTCCTCGCCCTCTTCCACCACAGGCGTCGCCCCACCTGCCCCCCATCGCTGTCTGAACGCACGCTCCCTCAACCGGCTGCCCTGCACGCCCCTCAGGGCGTACCGTGCCCTCCTCTCCGCCCTCGCCTCTCCCACGCCCCCCACTCCCCTCTCTCCCGCCTCCGCCCCACTCCCCCCTGTCAAATTGCTCTGCTGCTGTCCCCCCACACTGCCACTGCGCCTGCCACCAGCCCCTGCAGCAGCAGCAGCAGCAGCAGCACCTGCTGTGCTCTCGTCCTTGCCTCCCCCCGCCACCTTTCTCAGCAGTCCCCCCACACCCTCGCGCCACCCCTCCCGCCGCTCCACTGCTATCCCCAACTCGCTCGCACTGAACACCTCTCCTCCTCCCAGACTCATCCTCCGAGCCAGCCGCCTCTCCGAACCACCCAGCCCGGACCTGCGTTCCGAGCCTCCCACCGAGCCTGGCGTTGCAGGTGAGGCAGCAGCAGCGGCGAGGCCCAGGCCTAAGGACCACTGGCTGAAGCTCTTCCTGTGACGGCCTCCCCCCTCCTCCTGCAGACTAAGGTGCCGCACAAACCGCCGCTCACCTGTTGCTCCCCCTGCTGCTGCCTCAGCCGCCCCTGCTCCCCCTGTCCCCCAATCCCTGCTTCCCGCCCTCCCAGCCACGCTCAGCCCCCTGCCAGCCAATGGGGAGCGGCCACCTGGACTGGCTGGCGGAGGGGTCCTGGGGTTTGAATCGCGCCCCGCTGCTGACGTGGCAGCGTCCCATTGGCCACTGCTGCGCCGGGAGATCCTCTCCTCTGGCAGGCTCAGATTCTTCTGGAAAACCCGCCCTGACCGGCTGCTGCTGCTGCTATTGCTGGCATTGCTAGTAATGGCAGCCGTGGCAGCAGTGTGAGGAGGGCCAGTAGGGCTCAACGCAGGTGCCGCCTTGCCAATGCTTCGACTTGACATCGATCCTGAAGGGGGTAGACCAGGCCTGCCAGGCAACCACCCTCCTAGCCCTCCTCCTCCCTTTCCTCCTCCTGCCCCTCCCCTTCCTCCCTCCACACCCCTGCCCTCCACGCCCCCGCCACCCCCACTGCCCCGCTCCTGCAGGCTCAAGTGCCGCACAAACTGCCGCCCCCCCACGCCCCTCCCACCGCCATCTCCCGCCCTCGCCCTAGCATCGCCGCCCTCGCGTCCCCCCTCGCCAGCTCGCTCCCCCTGCCCCACGGACTGCTGCAGCGCGCCTGCCTCTGCCCCTGCTCCTCTGGACCCCCACGGGCTGAACTGCCTGCTCACCCTCTCCTGCTGCCAACTCGCATGCTTCACCAGCGCCCTGCCCCCGCTGCCCACGCCCCTGTCACCACCGCCACCAGAAACACCAGCAGCAGCACCCGCAGCAGCAGCAGCAGCAGCAGCAGCAGTAGCAGCACGTGAGGGACTGGGAGCAGCAAGGGAGGAGCTCCCAACACCGTTCCCCCGTGTGCTGCTGCTTTGGCTGTCCGCCTCCCCCATCCTCCGCCCACTGCTGTTCGCACTGCCACCACCACTGCCACTGCTACACGACTCAGACCACCCCCCCTCCCCACGCCTCTCAACCACCCGCTCCAGCCCCCTTCCCCCGTCCATCCCCCCCATCGAACCTACTCCCGAGCCTCGGATCCGAACCAGAGGCTTGGCAGCAGCACCAATCCTCCTGGGCGCTCGATCGGGGCGGCCCAGCCCGCCCCCTGCTGCGAGAGTCTCCTGCAGCCGCGCCTGCTCCTGCTGCAGTTGCCGCCGCTTGCGCCGCCAGTTCACAAGAAAAGAGCTCGACGCCCTCACGTCCGCCTCCTCCCCCCCTCGCCCTTCGCCCCCCCCTTCCCCTCCACCTCCCCCCCCTGCTGCCGACCCTTCCCCCGCCTCGCGCCCCCCCTCGCCTGCTCTCAGCCCTCCCAGCCCGCCCATCCCTCTGCGACCGAGAGCAGGGTCAGCAGTCCTGGGCCGTCCAGAGGGAGTGCTGGGGACACTTCCGCTCTCCCCCCACTCCCCTCCGCCCCCCCCTCCCCCTCCAATGCTCCCCCGAGACAGACTGCGCATCCACCCCCCTGTTCCCCCTCCCCCGCCCCCCCTTTCCCCTCTAAAGCTGCTCATCACGCTCTCCTCGTCCCACCAGCTGCCCACCTCGTCTCGCGCGTCACCCCTCCCCATCTCGCTCCACCCATCCTCACTCCACCACCCATCCATATCCGTCTGCCCTGAACCCACGCTCGTGGCCCGGCCGAGCCTCCTCTTCATGCTCTTCCACGAGCCCAGACCCGCACCAGACCCTATCCCCGGGCCTATCCCCGAGCCTCCAGCCGGGCTGGCAGAAGAGGCAGGGGCACCGAGGCTAGAAGTCCAGCTGCTGCCCCCAGCAGCACCAGCAGCAGCGGCTTCACCAGCAGTAGTGAGGCTGCGAGACGGGGGCAGGAAGGACTTGGGAAGCATGGAAGGCGCTTGGCCGCTGCCCAGAGCCTCATCATATTCAGGGCTGGAGAGAAACTCATGCTCCGTGCTGCGAGCCATAGTGCTCAGACTCATGGGGAAGGTGCGTGGCACCATGGACACTCTGCCCTTGCCTTTGCCTTTGCCTTTGCCGCCCTGCTGACTGCTCTTGCTGCCCCTGGCGCCGGCGCTGCCGCTGCTGTGGCTGCTGCTGCTGGTGGTGTCGCTGAGAGAGTCAAAGTCAGGGAGCGCTGAGGATGCCACGGGGGTGGTGGCTTTGGAGGTGGGTGTACCAGGAGCGGACGCCACAGGAGCAGATGCAGCAGGGGCAGAAACAGCAGGGACAGCAGGGGCAGCAGGGGCATGAGTGGGTGCAGCAGGGGAAGGGCCTGCTTCCCAACAATTCTCTCCCACGCGGCTGCTGCACCTGCTGCTCGACTTGCGCTGTCACTTTGCACGTAAGCCTCACTCGCGTCTTGTTTGTTTGCCGTAGCTCTCTCCCTCCCACTCCCCTTTTCCTTCCCACTCCCTCTCTCCTTCCCACTCCCTCTCTCCTTTCCACTCCCCCTCTCCTTCCCACTCCCTCTCTCCTTTCCACTCCCTCTTTCCCTCCCGCTCCCTCTCTCCTCCTCACTCTTCCGCCTACCCCACCCACTGCCACTCTGCGCGGACCCCTGTCCCCCGCGCCCCCCCTCCGCCAGCGCCCTCCGCCTCCGCAGCACCTCCTCTCTCCGCCTCCTCTCCTCCTCCGTCTCCCCCTCGCTAGAACCACTCTCGCTACTATCACCAAACTCGTACGCACCAGCCATGTCAGCAGGCTTGCGCGTCAGACCCCCTGCGCCCCTCCCCACGCCCTGCGCGCGCTGCTGCTCGCCCCTACTCCTGCTCCAGCTGCTGCTCCCCTCTGTTCCCCCTGCCCCGCGCTCTGAACCTTCCCCACTCGCCTCGCCAGCAAGCCCCCACTCATCATCCTCATCTTCCTCAAACCAGTCCGCGGCAGCTGCGCGCATAGGGACCTCCGCGCGAGTTCCCTCCTCTACCGCTTCCTCTCCGCCTCTCCACCCGCTCCCCCGCGCATCCCCCCTGCTGCTCTGCCCATGCTCTTCCCCCGCACGCCCCCCCACGCGCCCGTGCTGCTGCTGCTTCGACGCGCGCGCTGCTGCGTTATTAGCAGCGCTGTGGGAGTGGTGGATAACCACGCTCTCCGCCTCGCTCCACGCGCCTCCCGTGGTAACAGTGCCTGACTCGCTCCACACCACCACGCTGCCCCCCTCGCTCCCAGGCACGAAACTGCTCTCGCTGCCCTCCCCGTCCCCCTCGCTCTCCCCCCATTCCCCCTCCCCCGCTCTTCCCCACCCGCCCTCCGCTTCCCGCCCCTCCCCTGCGCGCGCCTCCCCCCACCCGTCTCCCCCGTTCGCCCCTTCCTCCTCTTCCCCGTTTCCCAGAAGCTTCCCTTTCACGTGTCCCAATATCCTGGATAGTCGATTCTTTACATGCTTGCGCAAGCCAATGTGGGGGATGGGGGACGCTGACCTGGCGTCACCTGATTGGTCGACCGCCATTTCATCCTCATTTTTCCGACCCTGGACTTCCACAAAGCTAGGCCCGGGAATTGAGGAGCTCGCCGAGCCTGTGCTTTCGGCTCGGCTGTGTGACCGGGGCACGCGCCACCACGACTGGGCCAGGTTCGACAGGGACCCTGCTGAGTCAACCCTAGAGAGACCACTCGGGTCAGAAACCAATAAGACATCGCGCGCTTCGGGAGACTCCCCAGAATTCCAAGGTTTCACGGCGGTGCGGCTGCTTCCATCATCGTGAGCGGCGAGCAATCGCTCCTCGCTTTCGAAAGACAAGTCGCTCCATGACCGCGACTTCTTCCTCGTCCCCTCTTTCCTCCGCCCGTCTTTACCTCCTCCATCTCCATCGCGCCCTGATTTCCCCGTCTTCCTTCCTCCTTTCTCTCTGCCAGTATCATCCTTGACTTTCCGGCCAGATACCGTCGGTTCTAGATCCCCTTTACGGCCTGACGTGTTACTCGCTAACGGCCGCCGGCTACTTCCGTCGGTCCAGCCTGTGAGCTCCTCCTCGTCGTCCGACGACAGCAGCCCCGTGTCCGTGGGGAAGTTCCGGCCGTCTATAATACCGGTTGACGTCTGACGTGACGGTGTGGTCGGACGACATTCTGAGTGCGACGACGCGCGAAACATGCCTAAGCATACATAAATACTGCGGTGGAAGTATTAATTCCAATCGCTAATGTCACAAAAACCACGACAACAAGTCCAATGAATTGAGAAAGACCTAACTTGAGATAAACTGCGGGTGGGGACGAGACTAGATGGATAAGAGGGTGGAGAAGCCTACTAGGGGGTAGTGTCCCGCACTGTGCATTATGGCTGTTTTCGCTTGCGATTTTAGGCCGAGGAAGTGCAGATTGATCCTTGCGCTCGACGAGGAAATCTTGATTTGGAACTGTGGTCAGTATATTTAATGGTTTTTTACGGTGTGACAAAATACAGTACGTTTTTGCACGTTTTAAAGCGGTATCTCTGTGATGCAACCTTCCCGGATGTTTTGCTAGCAAAGTTGGGCAGTTTCAGCACTGCAGGCGTTCAGGGCCAACAGATTGGAAACGGGCAGAAAACGATTGATCCGCTTGCATGCTGCTGCAGCATTTGGTGGCGGGCGTGAAAATGATTGATTTGCTGCGACGCGAGGCGACAGAAAAGTTATGCGCCGCCATTGGCTTGCCCGCTCTGGAAACACCAGAACTGCCGACTGTTTGGAAGAACGTGACCCAGAACATGCTTTGTGATTGGTGGAATGTTTTTCGCAAGTAACGCACACGTCCCAACCGTTTCAAGTTTCAACCATGTTATAGGCTAAATCGAACTGCTGCTATGAGTTTGTAGCATTGCCAATTAACCATTAATGTTATGATTCAAGAATTGATTAGAATGAGGCTTGCTAAGGTTGGTGGAATCAATGATGATGATCAAAATAACCGGTGAATATGAAACATCATATAAGCTTAGTGTTTGATACATGATTTGATGTGCGCATATCCTGCTCTTTTTGTTAGGTATGCCAGTTAGGATATGGGGTACAGTTGGTTGGAATGAGCCGTTTTGGTGCAGAACACTCCATCCTCTCCACTCCAAAGATGATTCTGCTGGATCCAAGATTTCCGGGTGCGACCTCCTATGATTATATATATTCCGCCAGGTCATCCCGGAGCACACGCAAATCGATGCCACGCCACGGCCTACAAGAAAATCAAACAATTCCCTAGGAGTCTTTCAGTCGCGAAGAAGGAAATTAGTGGTTTGCGAAGATGGTCGCGTTCGTTCAGAGTCGAGCACCAGTCGCAGCTGTCGCTACTCATCGCTCGAATGAAGGTCGGTCCGCCCAGCTGGTAGCCTGATGGGCTTGTGGTTGCAGAGGGCCCAGAACATCACCTCCCCCAACCATTCCTGGCCTTCCGAGGCAAGAAAGCCCAAGTGGAGAAAAGGAGCTCTCGAGAATACCAGACACAAACAGGCAATACCAGTGACTCAGATAAGCGGAGAAGACTAGTTAGTGTTTTGTACTTCAGGCCTGCTCTGGCGTTGCTTCTTTCGGCAGCGGCAGTACCAAAGACATTACCGGCTATTTCGGTGATAAGACAGTTCCAAAACAGAGCCATTACCCTGTCAACCGATCAATTCCTGGAGTACAGAAAACAATTCTTTCTGCCATTGTTTTCGTGCCAATTTATATATTGACCAGCCATTCCCGCGTAAAGATGTGGAGATTCTGTGCGACGAGGCTTGCGACGGCCGCATCTAGATCGTCATCGCGCTCGACGCTGCATCGCGACAATGCGCGCGTGGCGCTATACTTGAGCCCCAAAGTCGTCCCTTACCTGAGCCAGATCCACCGTCCGTTCTCCTCAGACAGCTCAGAAGATAAGGTCCGTTGTGCATACCCTGACAAGCATTGCCGCGTCAATGGCGTAGGTTCAGCGATTGCGAGAATCTAGTGTAACATTTCTTTATCCAACAATCAAGAAAGATTTCGTCCCACTCTCAACATTTTTCTCCGTTTCGCGCGACTCGTTTCGCAGCTGTTCAACAAGCTACTGGTGGCGAATCGCGGCGAGATCGCGTGTCGCATACTGCGCACGGCGAAGAAGCTGGGCATCCCCACCGTGGCCATCTACTCCGACACCGACATCGAGGCTCCCCATGTCCGCCTCGCCGACGAGGCCGTCTACGTCGTGCGTCCCTCTTCCCTCGCCTCTCGTCCCTCGTTCCCCCTGCACCACGACAATAGTCAGACGTTTCGAATGCGTTGATGTTTCAGTACTATATTGTCTGCCGTTGATCTTCCGAAACGGGCTGTCCATCCAGTCCAGCATCCGCTCCCGCATTCACTAGCTCGTCTCTCAAGTGCTGTCGCCAGCATGCGTCATCTTTGCATCCCTCGTTCCCGTGTGCGTGGCGTGTGCGACGTGCAGGGCCCGTCACCGGCGAACGAGAGCTACCGCAACGTGGAGCGCGTCATGGACGCCGTCATCAAAGCCGGCGCCGACGCCGTGAGTTCCGCCGCCGCCGCCGCTGCGCTGCCTTCTGATTGTATCGTTGAACCAGTTCCAATGCGCTGCGCAGCCGTAATAATCTGACGTAGCAGTGGGTGTGCCATAGAATTGCAGCAGCCTCGTAACGCACACACTCTAGAGAGAGAGGAGTTTTTTTCAAATACGTGGTGTAACCGGATCCCTATCTGCATTTTCTCTCTCCCTGCTGCTCCGCGACGCGGGCGGGCGCGCGCAGGTGCATCCGGGGTACAGCTTTTTGTCGGAGAAGCCCGAGTTCGCGGAGAAGCTCAAGGCGCAGGGCGTCACGTTCGTGGGCCCCACGCCCGAGGTCATGCGCCTCATGAAGGACAAGGTGAGGGCCCACATAGCACGGTGGCATGACGCACACAATGAGGGCCACACGACGTCATATCACACACACGTTGGTAGGGTCACATCAAGTGTACAGGGGTTAGTTAACCTTTGTCCTCTGCGCGTGCACGCTCATTCTCTGCGGGTGCACAGCACACTCGCACGCTGCACGATGCCTCAATGAGAGCCTCTCCTTCGCGTGCAATCGCGGTCCGGAATGGTCCACCCCTGTGCGCCATGCTTGCCCCTCCCCTCCCCTGCGGCCCGTGGCAGACGGCGAGCAAGTACGCGGCGGTGGCGGCGGGGCTGCAAATACTGCCCATTGGGGATGCCTTTTGAAGCACCTCACAAGTTCCCTCTCTCCCCCCCTGCTGCTCCTCACAGACGGCGAGCAAGCACGCGGCGGTGGCGGCGGGGCTGCAAATACTGCCCATTGGGGATGCCTTTTAAGGCGCCTCATAAGTTGCCCTTCTCCCCCCCCTGCTGCTCCCCCCAGACGGCGAGCAAGCACGCGGCGGTGGCGGCGGGGCTGCAGGTGCTGCCCATCGGGGATGCCGTCGCCTCCGACGAGGACCACGCCGTCCAACTCGGTACGCGCCCTCCCCCCCTTCGCCCTCTCGCCCCCGCCCCTCCCACCCCTTCAGCTCTTCCCCTTGTTTCATGCTCTCTTCTGGCAGCCTGAACGGAGTCAATGGTTATAACGCTGATGCTTCCGCCTTCTTTTTATTGCCACGTGGTGACTTTCTTCTGCTGTCGTGCCTCCTCGCTGTGCTGTACCCGCCACACCTATTGCCCGCCACACCCATGGCCCGCCACACCCATTGCCCGCCACACCCATTGCCCGCCACACCCATTGCCCGCCACACCCATTGCCCGCCACACCCATTGCCCGCCACACCCATGCCTCACAGCCAACAAGGTGGGCTTCCCAGTGGTGCTCAAGTCCCTCGACCGCAACCAGTCGCACGTGCTGCGCATTGCCTCGTAAGCTCGCCGCCCTTGCTCTCACTTTTTCAAAGTCGCTATGGCGCTGCTTGTCTGCGTCCTCTTCTCAAGCAGAGCACTCTTTGCTCCTCCTTTCTCACACCCCATTGCTCTGCTCCCTGACCCGCGTTGACCCACGTTGATCTTGTTGACCGCGTTGACCTCTTTCACCGTGTTGACCTTGCAGGAATGCGCGTGAGGTGCGGGACCACTACGACCAGTTCCAGCAGGACCTGTCCTTCGTGTCGCCTGGCGCGCACAGCCAAGTCGTCGTCGAACAGTGAGCGCCCTGGGCTGCCACGCACGCAGGGAGGGTGGGAGGAGAGGGGGGGGTGGGCGGAGGGAAGAGGGGGGAGGAAGGGTGGCTGGTGAGAGGGAGGACGAGTGAAGTGTTTGCCCGAGATGGTGCAGGAGGGGTGTGGGGGGAACTCGATGGTCATTGGACAAGCATTTAGAGTTGCAGACCACCATTCCCAGGCTGATCTGCTGCCCCCTTGCTTCGCTCCCGCCATTCCCCCTCCCCATGCCGGCCCCCGTGCCTGCCCCCATGCCCGCCTCCATGCCCGCCCCCATGCCCTCTCCCCATGCCCGCCCCCATGCCCTCTCCCCATGCCCGCCCCCATGCCTGTCCTGAGTCACTTACGAGAGTTTTCAGAGGT